TTCCAAAATAAGTCTTCGTACTCCCCTTCCCGTCCGCTATCAATACATATAAAACAAAGCGTGAAAATGTGTGGAAAATTTCGTTATTAGAAGATGGACGTTCTGCTCCTAATTATTGATTGTGTTTTTTTAACTCCAATTAATGAGGAGAAGCCAACAAATGAAGTCAAGGGCACCAATTTATTACCCACAAATATTAAGGCTATTGAAGAATTTAATAAGACTTAAATTTTCCCGTTTAAGTCTTTGCATTATCCCCCCTATCCGCTACCGATAAATGAGCAATATGCTGATGAAAAGATCAGCTTCGACGCCTCTGTGCCTTTAAGTCAACCACCTCTACTCTATACCTAGATGGTCCTCATTGAGCTCTTAGAAATTGGTATTGGATTTGGCGACTTCCGTGTGATAAAGCCGCTTAAAGAAGACACTTCGAAGATTTTGAATATTCCAAAACATTGGGAATCATACCTCAGCTGTATTGGGAGTTCTTCTGCCAAGACCTAAGAGAACACCCAATACCACCTTCTAACAGATCAATGAGGACTAACTTGGTAGAGAAAAGTTGTCGATTTAAACGCATAAAAGCCAACGAAGAGGAAAAAATAAATCTCTTCAAGTGGCGCATGATCGTCTTGTCTCTACCGACCCAGTGAGTCGCCTATGAGTTCTTAGAACTTGGTTTTAGCTTTGTCGGATTCTCATAAGCTTTTCTGGGTTATTTTTGTCAATACTTTTTACCCAACAACTAAGACGCTAGAGGATGACACTTCGAGGACCTTGACTATGCCGAAACTTTTGGAATCATATTGTAGCAGTTTTTTTAGTTCTCTTAGGTCTCGGCAGTTAAATTTTTGCAATATTCCTCATATTTAAGGTTCAGATATCGCATGCGAGATTAGGGTCAGAATATTTTTAAGATGTCAATTTTTGTCTTTGGTCTGATTCTGCCTATGTTACCAAATTTCTAAAAATTTCATTAAATTTTAGAATTAAAATAGTAACAGAATTTTATTTCCAAAATTATTTCCCTCTCCCTTCGAAATTCCATTTGGGCCCTTGGCAAATAATTGAAAACATGTGTTGTATTCTCTGCATGGTATTTTATTTATATGTTATTATCAGCAGGATATGACTTTGTCGTATAAATATAATATATGTATATACACAAATAACAACAAAACTAACTAACAAACAACCCCCAACACAACCAAACAACATGTTGCAACACAAATATTACCCCCTTCTCCTATTTATAACCATACTATAACTTTTGCTATATTTTTTTATAGAAAATTCTGAGTTTTTTTTTTGTCTCCACTAACGTTAATCTCACATCACTGTCTGAGACTTTATACCATGCCATAGTTTTTTTTCGAATGTAGGCGTCTGAGTCCATATCTTTGATTTCGTCTTCTTCTTTTTTTACAATTTCCTTTTTTGCTCTGCAGTTTTGTATTCTTCGATTAAAGATATGGCCCGGAAAGAAAAAAAGGGAACCTAGTTCTTCTTTTGAACTGGATAGTCTAGCTCTTTTTTTATTTGTTTTCTTTCGTGTTTTTTAGGTTTGTTTATCTAGTCTGTGAGCCCTTTTTGCGGGTTTTTTCCTCTGTTCCGACCAATTGCCAAACCATGCCACATTGCATTGCATGTATGTTCTTTCTAATTTATGGATTTTTAGTTGTGTTTTTTTTTACTTTTCTTTGTCTCCCCATCAATTCTTGGAAGAAATTAGATCACTATGTTTGTATGCTAGTTTATACATCAGTTAGCGCTTGGTGATGATGGTGGACGCCACATGCTGGTGTCGGAATATTGGCGTAAATTTATTTGTTAGCTTTAGTAAATTTTATTTGGAAGAGAGTTGGCGTTGATGTGACTGGCCTTAGTGACATAGAAATTATGTTGTGGCTCCAACATGTCTTTGCAACAACATCTTGATTTATGAATGAAGAGATTCGGAAGTAGGATATGTTGAACAACATATATTTTTTTACTTAGAATTTAGGGATAAGGAGTAATCATGTCAAAGAGCTTTAAGTTTGGTAGGGCCGAACTTTGGATTTCATATCATGACCATTGATATGTTTTATTGGATTTTGTTTTCATTTAACCGGCTGCCATGCAAACCCATTCCTCCGGGCCATCCTTCTTCTCCTCCCTTCATGTACATATGTACATTACCATATGTCTCTCCCTCTCTTGGTGTGTGTGTGTGAGCATTTTTGGGTGTGGGCATACAACATTTTCCCCAACTGTTGAAATGATTAATCGATTTGTTCCTGTCTGTATTCACCACTTTCATTTGATATCATCTATTTTACTGATGATTATGACGATGTTTTTTGTTAGTTTTTTCTCCACTACCTAGGCCAACTGCTTTTCCAGATTCCACTGTGTTAACTCGACTATTAACGATGACACACAAAAAGTGTTATAATGTCAACACAACTAAACAAATATAGTTGGGATTGAAAAACAAACCAAATACTGTAATGGAGATTTGCATAGATTTGGGTGACAGAGTCTAAAGGGGGTTGGGGGAGATTTTTTTGTTCATTCGATTGATTTATTTACTCTGCAGTTGTTATTGGCATGTTTGTTGCTTTCGGTTATCGATATCAATCGATTTTCATTAGCTCAATGTGATATTTGTTTATTTTTTTGAAAATGTTGATAATGACCAATGATGTGGTGGGGTCGCGTGTTATTTAGACGCATAGCACTCTGTCTGTGTATGTGTGCCAAATGACATATGTAAATGATTTTTTAATTTTTATTGATTATTGTCTATTTAAAAAAAAAATAAATAAATATAAATTGATGACATTGAATTGGATAAATGAAATGACAAAGATAATTTAGATTGTCATTATGATAATCGGATAAATTACAGTTAATTATTGGCATAAGTCAGAAGCAGGTGACTTGTCAGAGCTGAACGTTTACGTATAATAATTGAAAGTGTTTTTTTTATAAAATATTTATGACAGATTCCAAAAGAGCAGGCTCTTCGAAGCACCTGAAAGGAAATACATTTAAGGTATTCTATTTATGGAAACCCCTAAAAGGATCGTGGAATATAGAATAGAACCTAAATTTATATTTTTTGAAGGTACAGAATACGTCTGTTCAGGACTTCTAATTTTTGAAAATGTCTTGAAAAAATCTTCTAGTTATAAAATATATTGTTGAGTTGCAGAAAAATGTTCAACACACTTAGAGTTATAGAAGTTCCGGAAGCTGTACAAGTTCATATATATATATAATTTAGTAGTAATATTGCATTATTGGAGGTTTTAGAGGGTCTCTAGGTCAAAGTAGGCCAACAATAGGACTTTTAGTTATAAAATTGCCAAAAATAAGCCCTTTACGTCTTCTTATTTATGAAGGGCCTTAGAATGGCCTCTTCCCATTAAATATCTCCACAAGAACGCACAGAATCCTTAGAAAACATCCAACAGATCTCAAAGTTGAAAAAATCTAAAAAAATCGAAAAGGTCTTCAAATTGTAGACGACAAGTTGTTGTAGGGTCCAGAACTAATTTTTAAATAATCTCTACAAGTTAATCTACTTACAAAAGATCCCTAGCCATAGAAAGACTTTCGAAGTCCTATTGGCTACATAAAATCTTCCAAAGACGTTCAAGTTCAAAGACCTCCAGAAAATATTCTAGTTCCGAAAGTCCTCAAGAATGTCGAGATTACCTTCCAATTATTTAAGTGCCCTCATAACTCTTTTAAATTGTTGTATTTTTTAGATTGTCCTGATCTCAAGAATGGCCTTTACGTCCTCTTATTTATGAAAGCCCTTAGGATGGCCTCTACCTATTAAATATCTCCAGAAGAACTCAAAGAATCCTTAGAAAAATTCCAACAGATCTTGAAGTTGAAAAATTCTTAAAAAAAAAAAAACTTCAACTTGCAGACGACATTTACATCCGATTGGATCTAACGAAAGACCCAAAAAATCCTATATTTTTAGAAGTTCTTCAAATGATTCCATTTATAAAAGACTTATAGAATATATAAAAGGCGGAGTAGAGTTTTTGGAGGTTTATTAGTTTTAGATAATTTTTATAGGTCTCCATAGGTATCTGCAAGTTGTTGTAGAGCCCAAACTAATTTTTAAATAACCTCTACATGTTAATCTACTTATAAAAGACCTGCAGTATATTTCCGAAAGACTTTCGAAGTCCTACATAAAATCTTCCAAAGGCGTTCATGTTCTAAGACCTCCAGATAATATTCTAGTTATGAAAATCCTCAGGAATGCCTTATATGTATAGAAGTCCTCTAGATTAACTTCCAATTATTTAAGTGCCCTCATAGGTCTTATAACATTCTCAAGAATGGTTTTAGAAGTTCTTTAGAAATCCTAACCAAATACTGCCTTTTAGCCTTTAGGAGACCTTCACTATAGGTAACTTAGGGGATGTCTAGACAACAAATTTCCTTTAATCCAAAGGCAATGAAAGTCCTTCCCAAATGATGTTCTAACTCCTAGCCATATATAGTCAATTTTGCTTTGAGGAGGGCTACCGAAGTGGAAATATATTAGGCAACCCTTTAAATCCTAAATTTTACTTCTCAAGAAGTAATTTTAGTTCTAACAAATCACTTCTCATTATAGAAAATCTGTAGGACTTTTAGAAGGCTTTTGAAAAATATTCCAAACTTTTAATTGCCTTCTAAAGTGTTTCCTATTACAGAGATCCACTAAGCAGTTCTATAGGTTCTAGGAGGCCTATACAATTTTAGAAGATCTTCTAGCTATAGCAGATTTCCAAATGTCTGAAAAAGGAGTTCCGATTGAAGAATGGAATTTTTGTGGGAGACTCAATTAGGAATTCCAGCTGTTTAGGAACTTCGAAAGCCCCCTAAAACTATTTTAAATACTGAAGTGTTGCTATGGAACATAGTCTTGTTAGCATATAGAAGTTCTATCAAATTTATAAAGCTTTGCTAATTTATCTCTTTTTTCCTTTTTCGTTTTCCAGATGAATCAAAATTAAATTCTGGCTCATGGGAGGATCCACTTCCCAGTGCAGTAACAGCGATTCACCACAATAGTAACACCGCCAATCAAAATTTATTACAACAAAGTGGCAATACAGCAACAACAACAACCACAGCACAACTGCATAGCAACACACAAAATCCAAGGCGTCCTGATACGTTGGCAACAGGACGTAACGCTATACAACCATTATTAATACAGCCTCCACCGGCAGCAGGAAAAAATCATCAGCAGCAACAACAACAACACCCCAACAGTCAACATACAACAACAACAAGTGCCATAAGCCGCTGTGGAGAAGCGGCTCAAGAACAACCCCAACAACAGCAACTCCAACATCAACAAAATCCACAGCAGCTCACTATTCAGGGAGCTGCTGTTACCGGCAACACAATAGCTGGCGGTAGTTTTAACGCCAACGGCGGATCAACTGCCGTTGGTTGTGGCATTGGCGTTGGTACAACAAACTCGCCAAATAACGCCAACGATCATCTAGCCGGCGCTACAAGCGGTGTGGCCAACGAATTTCAAACCATCTCACCCATACCGCCACCATTGAACAGCTCTTCGGAAGACGAAGAGTTGAATCACGAGGAAGATACAAACGGCAGCGTGACGTCATCCGTAAGTGCCACCAATCAACGCAATTCACAATTGCGTTCCACATTTAATCGGGCCAAACAACATCTGTCCTTTGACAAATGGCGTTCAACAAATTCACAGGCAAATTCACCGGCTGATAGCAACAGCAGTAGTAGTAATTCGACAACGAGTAGCAGTAATAATAGTAGCGGTGGAGGAACATTAACGCGTCGCGCCAGTACAAGTTGTGCCACAATGCCTACGGCTCATCAACCGCCTCGAGAAGACATTACGACGCCTGGCGAATCGCCCGGCGGTCGTTTATCGCGTTGGTTTTCAATACGTCGCGGTTCATCGCATCAGTACGATGTTGGTGGTCGTGATGGCCGCCATTCGAATTCGTCCAGTATTGATATACCCGATTCGACATGTGATTCGAACAGTATTGGATCACCACAGAAACATAGCAACTCAAATTCAGCGAATACATCAAAATCTGCGTGTAAAATGCCTGGTGTACCAGAGGTGAGTGGAGGGTGATTGATTTTTTGATGGGAATTAGAAATTGGAATTGAAAAAATTTTATTTTCGATCATTGCAATGAGTTTATGATACGTTTTAAAATGTTGCTGCAACATTGTAAAATGTTTAATCAACATTGTAGAATGTTTATACAACAACGTTAAACAATTTGAATACAACATTATAAAATGTTGAGGCAACATTATGAAATGTTGAGACAACATTATAAAATTTTGATACAACATTATAAAATGTTGATACAACTTTATAAGAAGTATGTAACGTTTATCCACAATTATGAAATGATGATTCAATATTTTAAACTATTAAATCAAAATTATAAAATGTTGACACTAAAAAATCTTTATTGAACATTTTAAAATATTGATCCAAAATTAAAAATGTTATAAAACATTATACTGAAATTGTTTATTCAATATGATAACATTTTGACACGATACAATATGATATTGACTAAATATTATAACATGTTATCAACAAAATAAAATGTTGGATCCAGATTACCAATTGTTGATTCAACATTAGAAGACTGTGTGTACGATTATTTGAAAAATGTTGTCTAAATGTAATAAAATATTGACTGAATATTATAACGTATATATACAAGATTATAAAATGTTGGTTCAACATTTTAAAATGTTAATTTAACATTATAGATAAAAAGTTTCTTTAACATTATATACAAAATGTTGAGTAAATGTTATAAAGTTTTGAATCAATATTATAAAATGTTGACTCAATATTATATAATGTTTTTACAACATTATGAAATGATGATTATAAAATCTTGATTCAACATAATAAATGTTGGTAAAACATTTTTAAAATCTTGATTCAACATAATAAATGTGGGTTCGACAAATATTGGTTCAATATTAAAAAAAATAACATTATAAAATGTTGTTCAATAATAAAATGTTGGTTCAACAAAAAAATGTTGGCAACATAATAAAATGTTGATTCAACATTATAAAATGTTGATTCAACATTATAAAATGTTGATCCAACATTATAAAATGTTGATCCAACATTATAAAATGTTGATCCAACATTATAAAATGTTGATCCAACATTATAAAATGTTTGTTCAACATTATAAAATGTTGGCTCAACATTATAAAATGTTGGCTCAACATTATAAAATGTTGGCTCAACATTATAAAATGTTGGTTCAACGTTATAAAATGTTGATCCAACATTATAAAATGTTGGTTCAACGTTATAAAATGTTGGTTGAACATTACAAAATATTGGTTCTACATTATAAAATGTTGGCTCAACACTATAAAATTTTGATACATCACTAAAAATGTTAATTGAAAATTATTAATTATGATAATGTTTCTGCAACACTAGAAAATGTTGACTGAACACATTCAAATGTTTATCAACTTCAAAACATGTTGCTTCAACATTAAAAAGCTTTGAATAACTTGCTAGTCTTTGAACGTTTTTCAAATTTAACTAAAAATATTTAACCAAAATTTGTTTTTCTTTCAGAACGATGATGACGACATGGCTTCATTGACCACATCGACTTCACGATTCGATTTGGATTTTATGATACCACCGGGTAGTCGTGCCAATGGCACTGCCCGTACCGCTCATCAGCGTTTGGTGCAACCAATGTTGCCACCAGCACCACCCGGCCTCTCTCAACAACAATTAAAACGTCGTCACATAGTATCGGCCATTGTGCACAGTGAAAATTCATATGTGGCCACACTGCAACGTCTAGTCAATGTAAGTTTATCGTGATTTTTATTTATTTTTTTTATCAAAATAAATTTGGTGTATTTGTAAAAATGTAATTATGAGTTATTGTAGATGCGTTCTTAACAAATCGATATCATTTTTAAAATCAGATCATCATCATTTTTGTAGATCAAATTTTGGCTATAATTTGCATATTTCCTTTGCTTAGAAATTTTTCAGTTTCATGCATGATAGTTTTGTTTGTTCTTAAATGCTACTAACATTTTGAAATAATTTATTTTTAAATCTAAATATTAATATATTAAAAATAAGATTTTTGTAATAGAAAAAATTGGGCCCGAAAAAATAAAAAATTAAAAAAATCATCCAAAGAATTTAAGAAAATCACGTTTGATTTTTCAAATTGTTTTAGAGACATCCGAACGACAAAGTAGACATGACAACAAAAATCTGATTTCTTTTTTTCCCAGCAGATTACGATATAATTACTACACATGTCTTACCCCATTAATTCTTCATTAATTCTTCCCATTAATTCTTCATTAATTCTTCCCATTAATTCTTCATCAATTCTTCCCATTAATTCTTCTTTCTGCATGTGTACGCACCCACCCACTTAGAAGAAAATGTTTGGTCCGAAAAACAAATACATTTTCAATCTGCTCCTTTTTCATAAAAAAAAATAAATAAAATAAAATAATCAGTTTTGATTTTTAAATTTTTTTAGAGACATCCGAACGAAAAAAGAAATATCTCTTTTTTTCAATCTATGGATTCTTTTCCTACCAAATTACAATATAATTGATACACATGTCTTACCCCGTTAATTTTTCATTAATATCGTATTCATGTGTACGCAGACACCCACTTAAAGCATCCTTTTTCGCCACGATATCAAACCACATATTAAGCCAAACAAAAATTCCCACAACATAAAATATCTACCACATTCTGGTAATTTCTGGCAAAATGCCATTGAACATTGAGAGTATAGACAAACTTTCACACACACACTCACACACATCAAATTCAATTATCCTGATTGCCTTTAACTCAAGTGTTGTATAAGAATACAATCAGATACGATTTTTTTCGTTTGCTATGCGAAACAAATGCAATTAGTGCTAATTTTACTTTTAAAGAAACCAGAAGAACGAAAATCTCCACAGACCCACCAAAACCCTGAATCACTTACCTTTGATTGGCAAAAATTGTTAAGAGGCGAATAAGGAGAGAGGGCGTACACAAGAATACAATAATAAAATTGAATAGAAACCCCTCAATATTTATCCCTATTCCCCAAACATTCTGTAACAAATTAAGTTAATATATTAAGGGACTAAGTAGTAGGGACATGGCAGGATATTGCAAAATCTCTATTATTTAACATATGGCCAAAGGGATTTCTTTTTATTTTTTAAAGGGAAATATATTTATTATACCTTTTTTCAAAGCAATGGTTTACAAGATTTGTTGTATTGCATGTTGGAAGGATTTTTTTCTTTTTTTAATGCTTTACCATCCACAAACTTCTTCCAGGAAATCTACAAATCTTCTTTTTATTCTCTTTAAACTGTTACGAATTTTATTTGCTTGTATTTGCATCCTCTTTATGAATATTCATATTTATTTTTTATTTATATTTATTATTATTTTAATTCAGCTTGCATTTGAACTCTACTCCACCCCTCTACTTGTGTGTATTTCGTTCATTCCTTTTTCATAATAACTCATTATTAATATTAAAACAAATTTGTATTTTCTTTTCTGTAATTTATTTCTTTACATGCCATCCATTAACAACAACAAAATATTAATAAAAAATATATACAATCAAAAAAATATATTTCTTCCCCCCTCTCTATACTACTACGTCACGCTATCAATCAAATCAATCCAAATCGAAATGAAATGTACATTTTTTTAAATATATCTCTTTCTCATCATTACAACCATTACTACCATCCATCCCACCATAGTTGCAAAATTAAAGTAAATAATTCTGTATAAAAATGAATAAATATAAATAAAATACACACACACATATACATATAGAACATAAACACTAAGAAAAAGAAATGAAATTACAGAAAAATATATTGGGAAGCAATATGTATGTTCCCACCACATTCCTAAATACCTTAAATCGATCGGAATCCTTTTGTGAGAGCTATAGAAAAAATTCGCACGACCATAGATCCAAGTTTTTTCTATAGAAAAAAATTAGCACGACCATACATAAAATCGAACAAACCTATATATGGGAGTTTTTTCTATAGAAAAAAATTCGCACGACCAAGTTTTTTCTATATAAAAACCAGTAAGGAAAGTTAGCACACATCATTCAAGACTTACCACTTTGGGTATATTTCATACAAATCCTAAAAGACGTCGCATTTTTGAAGGACCATTAACATGAAATTAAACATGTCAATTTGCAACATATACTAAATTTTGGTCAGATATAGAGTTGTTTCTTGCAATGGGACAAAATTATGTAAATAAATTTAAATCAAAATATCGAAATCTAAACCGATTTCATCGAAACATATTTCAGTATGTTTTGTGCATTCGGCCACATCTTGAGTTCTTCATTTACTTATAAATCCACATTTCGTGCAAATCGAAGGATATATAGGGACTTTGATGCACCATTTACATAAAATCGGACAAAACTATATATGGGAGTTATATCTAAATCTGAACCGATTTTCTCGAAACTTAGCACACATCATTCTGGACCTAATTTAGTACTCTGTGCCAAGTTTCGTGCAAATCGAAAGATATACAGGGACTTTGGTGCCACATTTACCTTAAATCGGACGAAAATATATATGGGAGCTATATCTAAATCTGAACCGATTTATCCCAATTTCAATAGGGTTCGTCCTTGGGCCAAATAAGTGACTTGTGCCAAATTTCATTCAAATCGGATCATAAATGCGACCTGTACTTTGTTTACAATTTAACATCTACAGACGGACGGATGGACGGACTGACATGCATAAATCGACTTAAAAAGTGATTCTATGCATATTCTCAAAAGGAACCATGTGTCTATTTCGTTTCCTTTTGCTTGTTACAACACATGCCCAAGTTTTTTCTATAGAAAAAAATTCGCACGACCACAGGTCCAAGTTTTTCCGATAAAAAAAATTCGCAAGACCACAGGTCCAAGTTTTTTCTATAGAAAAAAATCGAAGGACCACAGGTTCAAGTTTTTTCTATAGAAAAAAATTCGCAGGACCACAGGTTCAAGTTTTTTTCTATAGGAAAAAAACACCATAATGGCGGAATACAGTGTTGGGTCTTAAATCAGGAAGCTTATATCACCACAAGGTAAAAATCCGTCCTTCATATGGCAGCATTACAAGTTTCGCCACCTTTTGCATGGAAAAAGAGTGCAAGGTCAAGAACATGTCCCACTAGACTATATATTTCTTGAAAAATATACAGTTCATAGCATTTTACAAATTGCATTTCTTCTTTTTTCTGTAAAAACACCCATGGTATACATAATCTCACACATACAAAGCTCCACTGTATACATAACCTACAAAACACAACTTGTAGCAAAATTTTGCATCTTTACTAATTCATATTTCTCTTTTTTGTTTATTCTTATTTTTCCCCATCGCCTTTTATTCTCGTCACGTTGATGCAAATATCAACTATCAACATGACACAATGATCTACAACAAAACCAACAACAACAATCACTCCTCCTGCTCCACCTCCACAAATCTAGGATTACAAAAAACCTCTGGAAGAAAGTAGTCCACCCGTTTTGAGTGCTACCAAAATTAACACGCTCTTTCATCGCCTGCCCGACATCCTGCAATCGCATCAACTTTTCCGCATCGCCCTGGCCGAATGTGTACGCAATTGGGATCGTGATGAAAAACTGGGTGATTGTTTTGTCAGCGCCTTCAGTAAGCCACGTATCTTGGAAATCTATTCGGGTTTCATTAACAATTTCTCAGCTGCCATGGAATTAGCCAAAATGGAGGAGAAACGCAAATCGGCACTGGCGGATTTCTTCAAAGTGAAACAAATCAGTGCTCACGATCGTTTAAGTTTTTTCGGTCTGATGGTGAAGCCGGTGCAACGTTTCCCTCAATTCATACTCTTTCTGCAAGATCTACTCAAATATACACCCCAGGGCCATCATGATCGTATGTCGTTGCAATTGGCCTTAACACAACTGGAATTGTTGGCCGAAATGTTGAACGAACGTAAACGCGAAGCGGAACAATATCAGGGTTTCAAAGAGATGTTGGGTCACATCAGTGGCACATTTAATACACGCTCTCTAACAACGACCGAAGGCAATCGGCCACGTTATTTATTGCGCGAGGATAATGTAACGCATATGGAATTTAATCAGGCCGGTTTTATAGTCAAATCGAAACAGCGTCGACTGTTGCTGCTGAACGATAAGGTGATTTGTGTTTCGGTGGCGCCCAAACAATCGCATGATTTTGGTGCGACCGAGAAATTGACATTCAAATGGATGTATCCGGTGACAGATGTGGAAATTGTTGATAATAGTACTTCTGCAACTTTGTCGAGAATATTAACTGCAGGTGAGTGGGATTGTTAATTTTTTTCCTAAAAATATTTCAAAACAATTTTATTTGAATTATCATGAATGAAGGAAATTGTGGAACTATGCCACTTATGGGAAAATAGCTTAAAGATGTGTTTAAATAAGTTATGCAACATGGAATTCATCCATCCAAAATTAGATACACTTATTCAGATATATAGAACCAATTTTCGGCTTAGACCTCATATAACGGAAACGAGGTATTTTCTGTTTGTTTAAGGTGTTAGCTGAATTTTCAATTTATAGAGGTTGTAATTGTGTATGACAGGCCTTTGGAGGAAACATTTTCTATAGAAGCTCATGTATTGATATAGACCCCACAAAAGGCTCCCGCTTCATTTTGGATCTTTTGAAGGTTTTAACAGCATTTTCAAACTGAGGGGGCTACACTTTAGCATTCCGGGACCTTGGTGGATGCAAAAAAACCTTGGCAGAAAATATTCAATCAAGGTCTTTGTTCTGACATAACCCAGATATAATTGTTCCTCTCCATTTCCGATATTTTGAATTGTAAATTGGGATTTTAGGTCCTTTGAAAATTCAAAAACATATTTTGACAAAGCTGCTTCCATATAAAAAATCACTAATCCCGTTTATCTAGAAATCAAAAGTTTTTTCCTTTCTCTAAAATATTCCAAATATTTTTTATTTTTTTTTATTTAGTATCGAAATTTTAAATTCTGAATCTTTGGTACATTTCCACCATATAATTATGGCAATTTGAAATTCTCATGTCAATTCTAATAAATTCTTTCAAAATAATTACTTTAGAAACCTTTTAATAAAAAACACCTCTTCAATTATTTTCAATTAATTTTCACTTTTTCGCCTTTTGGCTAACAATTTTAAACTAAATTTCGAAATTTCACCAAAAATTATTATAATTTTTCAATTATTAGATTGATTTCTACAAACAACATGTTGTGGAGCAGCAACATTGGAGGCACCACGATTATTTTTTTCTTTTTTTATTTGACTCCACCTGAATCACATACTGCGTGATTTGTATTTAACATCACTCACAAGTCAATGACTCCTACAAATGAGAGTGAAATTTCCATAACACACATCTTTCAGAAATATATAACAAAGATGAAAACAAGAGAAAAATACAACAACAACAACACAAACACAACAAATGAACTCCTAACAAAATTATTTTTAAATATCTCAAGCAGCATTTCTTTCCACCACGTTAGACTTTCTTTCTAATGAATTGCGTGATGCTAAATACCCAGCTTGGAGATTTTGTTATTTTTATTTTCAAAACACAAAAACAAACTTCAAACGATTTCAATAACAAATAAACCGAACATAAAACAGAAGGAGGAGGGGGAGGAGAGATGAATTTGAAAAACTGCATGCGCCAAAGACTTAAGACATCATCATTTGAAAACGAAAAAAAATTGTATCCAGCAATGATGGCGATGCTGCTGCCGCTTCTGCTAATCATAATAACAATAATGACCAAGAGAAAAATAAAAAAATTGCACTCCCAGCCATTCAATAAACTAAAATGTTAACAGTTTTGTGGGTAGTTTACTCCTACCAAGCGAGAATCCTCCCATCCCTCTCTCTCTCTGTTCATCAAGGCTTAACTGACAATCATTTGTTGTTGCTGTTTTTTTTTCCAACAATGGTCAATGGTTGTTGTTGTTGCGTTTTATTACGTTCGATCAATCAGTCCACGGTTGTTGAGCCTGCCAGCTTGAGAGCATGAAACTCAAGCATAAAGCCGCCACAACCAATATTTAGCTGTTTTGTGATGGACAAATGCCATATGAAATGGACGAATGTTGTTCATGTTGCCTAGGTTGTTGTATTTTTTCGCTATCGGATTTTATTTGATATCCAATACCGCCGCCTGGATAACTAATATAAATGGTGGGAGCTGATTTTTTAAGGATTTGTTTTTTTCTTGTTATACACACACAGAGGGGGGGAGTTGATATTTGCGAGCGGCATGAAATCCTATGTCAGGCTAATAATAATTGTCTATGTTAAATTTTACTAGGTCGTAATAATAAGGGGGGTTGTGAAAAAAGTAAAAAAAATAAATCCTTCTATAACCTGAAATCCGGATTCAAAATACATAAAATGTATCGGGATTTTTATATAAGGGGGTCTATGGCAAAAATTAAAAAATTTCTTCTTCGAAAACATTAAAAATTACGAAAATATGTTGAGAATTGTAAAGGTTTTTTTGATAACCTTCAACATGAAATTCGCATTCAAAAAACATAAAATAGATTAAGGTTTTTATATAGGAGAGGGTATGGCATGATAGATTATCATCTAAGATTCAGGTGCTAAAATTTGGTTGGATCTGCTGCAACATGGACCTATATTTTAGATATTCTGCAAAGGAAATTGTTACCTACCGAGATGCCGGAATTTCAGAATCCCGAATTTCAGCCACTTCGATGATTGAATGGGAATAAAAATTGAATGGGAATACGTTTTTAAGCCTCCGAGAATACGTAGAATACGCCAGGGTCTTTATATGGGATGATTTTGCAATATGGACCTGTAATTAAAATGTGGTACGAAGAAGATAGGCACCAATCAATAACACGGAATTCAAATTACTGTCACTTCGGTGTGCTAAAACCAAAAAAGTACCGAAAATGGGATGGGGCCTTTATATGGGCGCCATATAAAACATGGACCTATATAGAATTTTCTGCAAAAAATATTTATCCTTCAAAAATTCGAAATATTAAATTATAGCCACTTCGATGTGAAATGGCAATAAAAACTCGAAATAACCGAAAATGGGGTTCAGGTGCTGTATATTAGTCGCTTACCAAGACGTGGACCTCTATTAAAAATTGTCAGCGAACATGTTTTCTACCCACTAACCTCCCATAATGCCAAATTACATCCTTTTCATTTGATGTATACACCTAGGGCATCAAAATACGTAAACTTGATGGGAAAAATTATTTGGATGCTATGTTAAATCATGGGCCTATATCGGACATTTTCTAAAAACAGAAAGAAGTTTATCACAATCCAAAAAAATGTTAAACCCCTTTCGGTTGAAAAAAGCCCCCTTCAAATTAGCCGGTACCGATATAGATGGAAATATGTCAAAAACTAAACCTTCAAAAAAGTTTTTAAACCACGGAAATCCTGAAATTCCCAATTTCAGCCACATCGTTTTGGTAATGCCTTCAAAATATGGTAATGCCTTCAAAATATGGATGCCAAAATAAGGACCGATATGTCCTATTTGCAATACCAAACACCCTGGGCATATTAACAATGTATGTTCAAAATTTCGAAATTTTAATATTGCAAATCGCTTATTAAGATCGAATTGCTAATACCGACACCGTTTATAACAACATATCGGTTATAACGACGACAAACTCGAAACCTAATTTCCGAAAATAAATGTTGTTATTTGCTATCCCCTATAGGAAAGAAGTTCGCTGGTTCCCTAATCATCGTTATAAGCGATTTCCACCTTATGTTAGAGGATATAAAAATCGGTTACTAATACTGAAACTTGGTAAACTTTTACACCCAAAAGCAACAACACCCAATTGTGTTGCATTAATAAATTGTCTACAATTTATACTGCCACCATCATCGACAACAGTTAGACGAACAACAATTGGAAATACTGAACTACAACAAAATCATCATTGACTTAATATCGGCTGATTTTCATGGCGGAGTTCGTTTTTTTTTTCTCTTGTTATAGATCAATGGTATTGTCATAGACAAGACAACAGCAATAACAACATCGGCGTCAAGTATTTTGAAATCAAATATCAAAATGTTAAGATTGTTTGTTTTTCCACTCGGTTTTGAGTTTGTGGTTCGAAGTGGTCAATATCAAAAAACCAAAAACTTTTTTCATTTTTATTTTTTGATTTGGAGGCCAAACACTACGCCTTTATTTTGTTGATGCTGTCTTGCTAAGGAAACTATTGTAGATCAGTTTTTGTTTTTTGTGATTTTCCCTGCAATTGAAAACAATGGACATTTCATGATCGCCAGCCATTGTCTGTTTGATGTTCGTCAAGTTGTTGTTTGAGGTTTCATGTTAATTTGTTGATTTATGCAATTTGGCAAACGAATCATAATTATTGCAATTCAATTCATTATAACCCCCTCCCCCTAACAAACCAACGTCCCACCCAAAAGGTGGTTCTTCGTCCTCCTCTCTCGAAATTTGGTTCCGAATGAACTCATAAATAAATCGTCGATTATTTGTTCAATTGTGTGTAATGTTGTTTTTTTGAATTCGTTTTTGGACAATGTTGCTGTTGGTTTTTTTTTGGGAAAAAAGGGTATGGTTTCCGCTTCGGATGTAATAAATTGCTAAAGAGATAATAAAGTGAATTTTTATGGTTTGTTTTGATGGGGTTTCTTTTTTCATTTTATTGTTGTGAACACAATTCAATCCATTTTCATTTCAAACGGCGGTAACTTGAGTAGACAGAAAATATCCCAACACTAACCAGACATAAATGTGATGCAGGTCGAAAAGTGGCGTTTGGAAAAATCGCACAATACTTAAAAATATTAATAATATTATACGACAATCAACTCTCTACCCGCTGCTGCCTCATTGTCAGAAAATTTATTGTTTAGAAACATTTTTTCCATCTGTTTGTTTTGTCTATCCTTTCATTCAGTCATCCATCCATCCATCTGTTTTTGTTCCGCCAATCGCGAATAAAAAAAGAGTTAAGCCACAAAAGCTTCCTTAAAAGATAAACATCGCAGCTACAAAAAACCAAAGCCATAGAGAAATTATTTGTTAATGCGGAAATTTTCATATTTAAAAACGATTTGAGAAAAAAAAACATTGTGGGAGTTGAATAGATAATATTCAAAACGCAGAATATTACAACAACAACAAGCGTATTATAAATTAAAATCAAAAGTTAAAATGAAAGTAATGTTTTTTTAATATGAAAGTGGAGATTTGAATATCATCCCAGGAAGATTTAAAACGGGTCATATATTAAAGATTGGAATCGGAGAAAGAAATAATTTGTTTCATTAAATTTTTTTAAATCATATTCTAAAGATATAAAATCATTAAATTTGTACTACACTTTCGCCTCCATTTCATTGAGTACATTATTAGCGCCTAAAAGTATGCTTTATATTCTTATTAATATGTAGGCATGGCTATGTTATATACATACAATCAATTGAAAATAAGAACAAATGAAGAAGGAAGAAGTAGAAAAAATAAATTGGAAATATATTTGTTTATATTAGCTTCCACATGCACCTCTCCTGATATGGGTCTGTATTTCCTCCTTGAGTTCGCATAAGCCGTACTTTCGTTTTTCGTCCTCGGTTGGCTATTTCCAATCGGGTATGAACTCAAATCGGATATAAATTGTAATGCTTATGACCTTATACTGCTGAGGGAGGTAACCAAGGCAATCTTATGGGTATGATGTATGAAGGTATTCGTCTGGACTTAATGGACTTGATCACTTTCAAAATAAGCGACTCATTTAATCTCCATTTATTCCCATTCAACTTTTATAAAACTTATCTAATATAAAGTTTGGTCACAATCCTATTTCCTAATCGGTAGCTCAATTTTGCTTACCTTTACTATGCTTGTTACTCTAAAATAATTAACCCTTTCCCTTCAACTCTCTCACAGGTCTCAATCGCGGCGGAAGTCTTAAATCGAATAGCAGTTCATGCAACAACAATTATCAAACCAATACCCTACCCGCCAATACATCATCGCCATCCGCCACCATGGCCGGCTATCAAAATCCCGCCTTCGATAATTCACCCGCAGCTTTATTAACCAATGGTGCTGACAACCTATGCAACGAGATGTCTACCCTGATGTATGATTATGAAGTTGTATCGCGTATCAACGATTTGGTTGGCACCCTAAAGGGTACCTATAAAGAGCTAAATACCAATTTAACACGAAATCTCATGAACTCCATACAAAGTTCAATACAGCGTAAAAACGAAGAAATGGCCTGGGTCGATTCGTGCTGCCTGCAATTGGTGGCCCGATCGAAAAATGGCAAAGAGGAAACATTTACATTCCAAACGGCAAATCCCAGCGTGAAAAAGGAATGGATAACGGAATTGCGTTTGGCCCAGCTGGCATTGGATGTAAATAATTCGCCAGCATGGGAGACCACACCGGCTGAACCATGTGCCACCAGTACACCGGCCTATGAGCAGCAGCAAATGCAATTGGTGCAGAGACAAACAAATAAAATGCCATTGTTTGTCAAGGCGATGCCCATTCATAAGTCACAGCATCAAACGGAGGTGAGTTGTAACAAACAAAAATACTACTACTATTCCTGATACTAATTTCCACATTTCTTCCAACACTACAGGTTCGCTGTGGATGTTATTACAGCATCGCCAATGATCCGAAACTCAGTGGCAATGCACGCCGCCGCCACAAACAACAAAATTATCTCTGGATTTGCACCACAAACACGACTGCATCACAAATTACCGTTTTCTCTCAGCATCATCAACAAGCGGGCAATTTGCGAGATGTCAGCACCTTTGAATTGGCCGAAACCCAGGTGACGGCCATGGAATTTGTTAAGGGCTTGGAAAACTGCAAGACACGCGAGGATATGAACAGCCTTTTGGGAGATCTCATATGGATGGGTACCGATACCAAAAAAATACTCATCTATACGGCTAAAAATCCTGAGCAGGAACAACAATTACATTGTTGCAATGTCCAAGGTGTGGTCATGAAAATACTCTATCATTTCGATACTGTCTATGTGGCCCTATCGAATGCCACAATTTTAATTTATCGCCGATCCTATGATGGTGTTTGGATGCTAAAAGATCCTCAGGTGGTGGTGATGGGCGATTCTGGTCTACCAGTACCCAGTATTTTACCCATCAATATGAACATCTATGCGGCATGTGCCAATCGTGTATACGTCTTAAATGCCCTCAACGGAGAGATTCAACGGAGCTTTGAAGTCCATCATGGTTCTAATCAACAGGTGAATCTAATGGCTCATTCGGGTATTGGATTGTGGATTTCATTGAAAAATTCCACAATGTTGTGTTTGTATCACACGGAAACGTTCAAGCATTTACAGGACATCAACATTGCCTCCAGTGTATTGCGTAGTGATGGCAAAAAGGAACATGCCGTGAATAACAGCGCCATATATGTCACCGCCTTGATGGCTTGCAAAGGTCTTTTGTGGGTAGGCACAAATGTGGGTATTGCCGTAACTATTCCATTGCCCCGCTTGGAAGGTGTGCCAATCATCAGCGGTGGCATCAGTATGTCTTGTCATGCTCATTTCGGCCCCATAACCTTCCTCTTGCCATTGGTGCCCAAAGCTTATCCCAGTTATAAACCAACTGCACAATCGTCACAGACAATGCCATTGGCTATAAATATGCCTGGAGAGATGGCGACGACGACCATTCCACCGCCCGTACCCAGCATGGGCGATGATTTGCAATTGCCCGCCATCGATGCTGATCCCAAAAAACTCACCGATGCCGAATTGGACGATACTTCAGTGATACTAAGACGTGACCTGCCCAAAGATGACAATGGTTCCGGTTCTGCCTCACCTTCAGCTGCCATGTTGCGGGAATTAAGTAATGAAGGTGGCGGAGCAGATTCCACAACCTCTTCACCACGCTGTTCCAAATTGGATAAACAAAATTCTCTGGATCAAAGTTTTTCGGCCAAAATACGTGCCTCTTTGGCCAATTCACCGGCTTTCCATCGCAAACGTTTCCGTGACTTGTCCTCGGAATCGGCACGCATGTCTAAAACATTGCCTAGAGGTTTGGGCTCAGCAGGTGCCTATTTCCAATCGGGTACAAACTCGAATACCAGTACCCTATCGCATACCGAACATGGTTATTGCGATGTTTATGGTCTGTATGGCAAACTGATCTATGTCAAGGAAGACTATGATGCCGAAGAAGGTACCCAAGGCAATCTTATGGATATGATGTATGAAGGTATGCGTCGTTCGGATCCCGAATTGGCTGCCATACCGGGACGTGTTACCACATTGGATAGACGTTTGCGTATGAAAGCTTCTAGACCCAGATCGTTGGATTTGTCCAATTGGTCAGTGGATTCTAAGTCATCGAGTTTATACACCTCTTCGGGTAGTGAAGAGAGTATGGGTATACGTTTCTTTGGCGGTCGCTCAGTATCACGCAACAGTTCCAGTGCAAGTCATAAAACTTCCGGAAATGGCAGTGATTTGGGTAACATATCGGAGAATGGCCTAATGACCGATTTACATTACACGCATAGTACACCAAAATCCGATGATGGTTTCAAATTTATGCAGCAGCAAAAGCAACAAGCGTCCGGATCTGCAGCCGCTGCACCCAGTACAACACCACCGCCAGCAGCCACGGCCACACTGAAACGTAAGCAGAAACAAAATGCCAAACAACAGCAGCAGCAACAAGCCGATGGTCCACGTACCATTATCACTTTGACTGGTGGTCGGGGTTATTGGCGTCATGTTTGGTACAACAACACCACATCGCCCGGTCATAAGTCTTCATCATCATCGGGTTCCCTAAGTTCGGGAGCCTCATCGCCACTAATTGCCAACTCGAACGATGCCCACATTGTTATTTGGGAGAAAAAGTTATAATCTCCGGAGTATGTGTGGCACAACAAGGCCACACCTCCATATTCGATATCCAGTGGTGGCGGTACGGTAAATACCGCTCACACAACATCTACGTTATTCTTACAACCGCCAATGTCCTTGCAAACCACACCAGAACGTAGCCGTAGTCGTGTACGATTTCGTGGTTCATTTATTATACGTGATCGTTCGACGTGCTGTTCTTCACTCACGGGTTCACCGAATTTGGGTATGGTACCTGGCACCCCAACAATGGGTGGAAGTTTTCGCCGCTTGGCTAAACTGAGACGTGGTGGTAGTTTAAAGGAATTTTAAATTTAGAACGAAAAATTCGAATGTTAAGTATAGTTGTATGTATGGATAAGGGATTCGATTCAATATATGGAGGAATGAGGTCGCTTGTTTTGGTTTTCTTTGAAAGTATTTTCTTTATATTATTATTGATGTGGTTGGAAATTCGAATGTTTTGAAAACATTAACATCCTCTACCCCACACACACACACATTTTAATAATTGTGGTTTATAATTACTTTTTTAAAATTTAATATTTTAATTGTTGGTATTGTTAATAGCATTATAGAACGAGCAGGACTCTTAAAGAGGGATTTTTGAAATAAAATAACGATTTATTTTATAGGAAATATTTAATTCAAATATCTTGGAATGGAATTGTTTGTTGTTTACGAACGAAATGTGTTAGGAATTAATTTTTGGGATTTTTTTCTCTGAGGGTTGTAAAAGGAGTAATGGTTAGAGGATAACTAAAATAAAATCAATTGAAGGATAACTAAAATAAAATCAATTTTTTAAAATAAAATCAATTGAATGCAATTATTATTGACCTTTGAGAACAAATTAATTTTTTTTGTTACAAAATAAAAAAATAATTAAGAATATTTGTTAGGAACTTTTAAATACATTTTCTTAATTTTCCAATAAAATTGCTCGATCTTATGTGACTTGTAATTAAGTCTTGATTTCGAAATAATACAGTTTTGGTTTTCTTATTTTCCCCCTTTACCCCTTAAGAACATCCAATGAGAAAATATCCCTAAATTCTTAGTAACAGTTTTTTTAGAACCAAACGAAATCTTGAATAAGAATTTGTAAAACTTCTTTTGTAAAAAAAAAACATTTAAATAATTATTTGCTTTAGTTTATGTTTTATTTTTCTATTATTAAAATTTATATGTATTTAAATTGTAATATTTAAGTTTTTTTTTTTATAATTTCCCCCCTACCGGATACAACTAAATGTGAATGAGAAATAAAATACAAGGTTAATTTATAAAAGAAAATTTATAAAATATTTTCATTTTATAATTTTTTTTTTTATTATGAAAGACCTTGTGTTTTTTGGATTTTCATTCATATTTTTAGGAAATCCTTTTTGTTTTAATTTTATACTGATTATTATTTTTTATTAAAGTTTATTTTTTATATGATCTTTGGTTTTTTAATCGGGAAAAAGGAATTAAATGAAATTTCTTCAATAAATTGATATGGAGTTTTTTCCTTTTAAAAAACAAAAGATCAATTTGATATGTATTTTTTAATTTGTTTTTATTTATTTGTATATTTTTTTCTACTTTTCAAATTTCCATTTATGTGTAAGATTATTTTCTTTTGTAATAATTATATTTCTTTGGTTTAATATTAAAATCGAAATTTAAATTAAATTTAAATTTAAAACAAGCAAAACCACAAACACCCCACAACTCTTATCTAAAAAACAAACAAAAACAAAAATTGTAAAAATAGTAAATTTAATAATAAAAAAATAAAAGCTAAGCTTTTCTCATATTTTTTATATATAAATATAGAAATTTAAAATCAACATAAATTTTAGTTTAAGTAACTTTTTATTTTTGTATTTTTCATTTTCTTTTTTTAATTTTTGTTAATGTTATTTTCGTTAGATTTCAATTAAGTTTCATTACATATATAATACTTCTTTGTTTTAAGCCTTTAAAGAAGAAGAAGAACAATTTTAACTTCCTTATGTTTTTTTACAATTTAGTACATTGCTTTTTATTATTATCTTTAATTAATTACAAAAAAACAACACACACACATACACACAAATCTTAAGTATAAAATAAGCAAGTTGAAAAACAACAACCCTGAATTATTATTTTTTATATATACACATATAGAAATATATTTATAACTTAAAAACAAAAAAGAAATAAAATAAAATTCTCTTTATTTGCAAAAAACGAAATTATTTCGAGAAAAAAATAAAAAAACGAAAAAAACAAACAACCTGTGTAATTATCTAAACGACGAATATGACAAGAACAACAACAACAACAAACAAATTATATTTAACATAGGAAAAGTATCTAAACACTAGGATCAAGGATTAGTATGAATGATACAGAAAAAAAGAAAAATATAGTATATATAAATAAAGCATATTTAAATCAAAGCATATCTCTTTTTTCTACAATGCAACAACAAATAATAAAAATATGTATTTGGAAACCAACAATAAGTAAAATAACAACAACATGTAAAAGATAATTTATAACAATTTTTTTGTGAAAATAAAAATAGCTTCATCTTTTGTAAAGCTTTAATTGTTATAAATGAAAACCAAACAAAAAAAATCAAATTCAATTTTGCTATGGTTTCAAAAAATGCTTCACGAACTCCCATCTTATACGGTTATCCTTAACGAGGTATACTGCTTATAGAACTCCCATCTTATGTGGTTATCCTTAACGAGGTATACTGCTTATAGAAATTATCTTATATCTTTGATAAAATCTGTGTAATGTCAATGTGTGTATTTTATATGTATTATTTTTTTTTTCAACACAAGACGCTACGCTATATCAAGGAACAAATCAAGTGATTTAGAATCATTTAACTCCACCCATATTTTGTTTTTTGCCAACATTCAAAATTATTTTCCTTTCACTTATGAACCCTATGTAAAGGAGAAGTCCCTCTTTAGGTATTCTAATCGTTTGCGACATATAGTAGAAGACATCTTCGAATAAATATTCCCAATTTGTGCACAATAAATAGGTTTTCTTCAAATTTCGTTTTTTTTTAATTTATTTAATTTTTTGGGAATCTCCATTTGTTATAAAAATCTCAATTTTGATATATTCTCTTCTTGATAATGGATAACATAGATCAGTGCTATTGAAAAGGATTATAGCTTTATAATCCTGTTTTGCGATATTTTGAAAATTTACTTATATTTCTCTAAGTGTTGAAGACTTCCTCGTAAAGATTTCCAAAATTATCCAACTTTTGTAATGGTCTCCATATAAGGACAAGATCTCTTTTTAGATATTCTTGAGATCGGAAACACATTTTTCAGCCAAAGTAGATGTTATTTAGCATTTCGGATTTCGTGAGGTTAAAAATCCTCGAAGAGACTTCTTTATAATTGGATATGGTTTTGTTATAGCCCCCCATAAAATAATTACTCCTTTTGTAATGCATTTTGAAGGCCCTAGTCGTATTTTTTTCCATTGGCCAATTTGATGTAGGTTATCATTGCGGATTTTTAGAATGTTAAATACCAACTTCAAAACACTTTTTTAACAAAGATTCATAGTTTGGCATGACCTTCAATATTGGTTCAGACTGATTTTTGGTATATTGAGTTTTAAAAAATGTTAAAAGTCAATGCTATATTGTCCAGCCGATGTATATGACATTTGGTATTTCGGGTCTCAGATGATAAGAATCTTCATGCAGTAAAATTTTCAATATCGATTTATATTTTGAAAGCTTCCATAAAAAGATTTCGCCTTTTATAATGAATTTTGAAATCTCTACTTGTATTTTCCCATGGTGAAGTGAATGTGAATTTGACATTTCGAGTCTCATAGGGCGAAAATCTCCACACAGAAAATTTCCAATATCGATTTAAATTTTAACAGCCTCCATAAAAAGATTCCGCCTTTTATAATGTATTTTGAAACCCCTAGCTGTATTCTCCCGTGGTAAAGTGAATGTGAATTTGCATTACCGATTTCCAGAGGGTAAACTACTAAACTCAAAACATTTCTCACAAAGATTAAAAATTTGCCATAGTCTCCATATAACACTACCAACCAATGTTTGGTTATTGAAGTGGAAAAAAAATAATATGTCATTACGATTTGTAGTTCCTCATGGTACTATCTAAAGATCACATTTTTTATTTATTTTTTTTTTCCATTATTTTATTTTTTCCAAAACAAATTCCGATTAATTTTTCCGAATATTTGTTTCTTTTTCATTTCAAAAAGTATGCACAAGTATCGAAAATGTCTGAAATTCGTGAAAAATATATATTTAATATTTCAAAATAGTTTCGAACTAATTTGTGATGTTCACCTTAATTAAAAAATATTGGGAATTGAAAATTTTTTTGTAATTGGGTTTATTTACTGCCAAACTCATGTTATTTATATAGCTATGATAAATAACAAAATTCAAATCAAATTCGAAATTTACATTATTTTATTAATAATGCTGTTTATTTTACGCGGTGTGTTAAAATTTGTTTCATAAATAACTTGTATTTGTTTCAATTGATTTTTTTATGGCAACAGGCAATAAGACACATTCAAAATAGAATGCCCTTGAATTGTTTAGCCTTGTGTTGAATTATTATTAAAAATGTTATCATATCATTTTCTCATCGTTTCAATTAAGAACATTCTCACCCAAGAAACCTTAAAATTCAAAATGAATTAAAAACCCCCCTATATTTATATACAAAACTATAATTTATTAAAAAAAAGAAACACAACCATAACTAAAAAAATCTGAATTATAAACCAACCCCTCCTACTCCCACAAGAAAACAAGAAAAAGAAAAAACTTTTTGCTAATTGTGTATTTTGTAAAACAAATATTTTTTCGTAATGAAAACTAAATACAAATTTATTATACAAAAAAAAAGAAAAAATATCAAATATATACATAAATGAATAAAATCAAATTGTGGTTCATAATTTAATTATGCGCAAAAGTATACCAATAAACAAATTAAAACAAATTAAATAGAATTTACAAAAACAAAATAAATAAATGAATGAAA